CACTACTAATAATAAGAGGAAGACGGATAATAACAATACGAATGCTACTACTATTTCGTAATAGTAGTCATACTCAGAATAATAACCATTCTATTAATGATTAGAAAGAAGATTAATAGTAATAATGATATTAAAACTAGGAAGAATAATAACACTAATTTCATATATAGGAATAGAAAGAATAATACTACAACAATTTATAATACGAAGAAGAATGAAATTAAGACAGTTACGAAGAAAACCGTAATACTGATATTAGTGATAATATGGTTAATAATAATATTAAGAATAATGAGACTACTATAAATAAGAAGAAGACGAATAATAATACTAATCGTCAAAAGAAGAAGAGTATTCGTAATACTAAGAATAAGAGTAATAATAAAATTACTCAGAAGACTAATTATAATAATACAAAGGATAATCCTGAAAAGAATAATAATCACCATAATGAGAATACGAAAAAGAAGAATAATAGGACCCAGAATATTCATACTCAGACAAATAATAATAACACTAAGCATGCTAATGAGAAGAAGAACACTAAGCACAATAAGAAGACGAATAATCATAATAATACTACTAATACTGCTAATAGTAGTAACAATAATACGGGTACTAATATTAATATTAGTAGGATTCATATTAGTGATAATGGTGATTATAGTAACAATAATAACGCTACCAAGCATACTACTAATATTGTTTAATAATAATGATATTAATAATGGTAATATTACTTTTAATCAGCATCCTAATGCTAATAGGACTAGTAATAATAATACTAATATTAATAATAAGAACAACAATACTAGGACTAATAAGAATAATATGCATAATGATACGAGTAGTACGAAGAAGAATAATATATTATTAGTAACAAGAAGAATGCTAAGACGAATGCTAGTAATAATATCACGAGTAATGAGAAGAAGCATACGAATAATAATACACATAATAGTACGGAGAAGAATAATACGGAAACTAAGAATAAGACGAATAATGATACGAATGCTAATGATAATACTATTAGTAATAATGTTGATGATAATAATAGTAATAACAATAATTACTAGTACGAATAATACTAGTAATATTAACAATACTAATACTAGCTATACTAATAATAACAATAGTAATAATAGTTATCACAATATTAATAGTAATAATGATATTAATAAACATAATCTTACTATTAATAATACTAATGTTAATAATGATAATAATACTATTTTTTAATGATAATAGTAATACTAATAACATTAATAATGATAATAATATTAATAACACTAACAATAATAATAATAATAATAATAATAATAATAATACCAATAATAATAATGATAATAATAATAATAATGATAATAATAATAATAATAATAGTAATGCTACTAATACTAATAATACTAATATTACTAATAATACTAATA